AAAAAGCAATGGCGATATTTTAGGTGAAAATCTTAGGTGCCAATCAAAATAATTAAAGAAGAAAAGGAAAGATCTACAAGATCATTCAATGCTAGGAAGCGTATTGTATTTCCATTATTTGAAATAAAAATATATGCAACGAAAAGAATTTTTATTGAAAATAAAGTTCCATTTTAATAAAATTGGTATTTTATTGAAAAATTGTGGAATGATGTTTAATATTACTAGCCTAGAACTTTATGATCATGTTCATATAATATGATTCGATTCGAAATATTGTAGTAGTGTAGTAGAACCAGAAATTACTGATATTTAGTTGATATAAATGGAGTTCATATAAACGGAGTTCTAGTGTATAAATACATAAATAGATTACTTTATTTGTTAAAGTTTTATGAGTGTTTATTCGGTCTTAAATGTAAGCGTTAATTGTAACAGTGACATAAAAAAATACATCAGTTTTTGTTTCAACAGATTGCAAGAAATTTTTCGTAGTAAACATGCCAAGTAGCAAGACTAGAATCGCTATAATCGGCGGTGGAGTTGCCGGATTGGTGGTAGCTCGCCACACAGTTACCAAGTTGGACACTTACAGTCTCACTTTATTTGAGCAAACTGATCAAATCGGTGGAACATGGGTATACACCGACGAAATCGACGTTGACAAACACGGATTGCCAATTCATAGTAGCATGTATAAAAACCTGAGGTTAGTAGCCACCCAATAATTGCATTCATATAAAATTGATTACATATATTATACGTGTATTATAATTAAATCGATAAACGATGGGGAAATACTGTGTTGCATTAATTCTAGTACTATTAAGTCATAAACGCGACTAATGTACATTGTTCTATAACAATGACAAGATTATAATTATCTAAACTTTCTATTAGAATATAATATATAATAATATAATAATATAATAATTTATTATATTAAAATATTATTTTGTAATAGAAATAAAGAAATTTATTAACAATTTTTTACAATATCAGGGATTATAAAAAAATAAATCAGAAACCAATCATTTTCGCAGCTTTAGTAGTTCTGGTGTTAAATAGCTGATTATAACATATGGAAACGAACGTGCTGATCTGTTTTTATGCAAGAAATTATTCTATTATTATTATTATCATTATTATTATTATTATTTTGTTTTTATGTTGCAATATTCGACGCAAATCTTGTAGGAACATAATTTATAAAATGTTGCGCAAAGGCAAGGTGCAGTGAGAGGCAGTTTAAAACCTGATTGAAATTATTTTAACGCAGTTTCCCCAACCTCTGATTAGCCGAGCAATTTCGCCAAATTGCAATTAAATGACTTTCATGATACAGCATCTAGTAGAAAAAAGTTCGTCAAGTAGAAACTACATAGAGAATGTAAAATATATAGTTTGATAATGAACACGTTAAAGTATCCTAAAACGAAATGTATCATGGCGAATGCTACTTTATTTATAGCTTATTATTCGAATGATTGAAACGAAAATGATTCACATTAGATACTATTGTACAATAAATATAGTGACTACTCACTTTATGTGAAAATATAATCAGTTGTCCATTTCAAACATTTCGTTATTCAAACATTGCATCAACTTACTAGTTTGTTTAATCACGATTCTGCAGAATTAATAACTGATTAATTCAATCATTCGCGTTTTCAAACGGTAATTTATTTCTCTAATTACAGATTTTAACTTAGAAAATGCGTTGAATAAATTTAGTTTAATAAATGTAACAAGAATAAATAGAGAAACACTTAATACTAAATGGAGTTATATAAATACATTTACCTTGAATATTTAAGGAATCGTTATTGAAAAAATATTAGTTTGAATGTATAGATTAATTTGTTTATATACTTGCTTTTTTTAAATTAGATTACATACACTAAGTTTACTCAATTTCAAGAACTATTTGTTACTTACATTACCTTATTCCTTAGTTTTGTTACTCGTTTCTTCATTTAGAACAATAATGTTGTAATGCTCGATAAAATCATACTATAATAAAAGCCGACGTGAGTTTGTACAATTATACTTATCTGTAACTCTAAAAGCAGTATTTATAACGACGATGCACTTATTGGACGGTTCAGTGATTCAGATGGATCATTACGCATATAATTTTATCCGTGTTACTGCAACTAATGATAAAACTGACGGTTATACCGTTAGATCTTGCGTAAGAAAATAAACCTAATTACAAAAATACTAATGTAATCACATTATCTACAGTAATTAAGTTACATGTTTAGCAATACTTTAATGATAAAACTTAAAAAGCGTCCGAAATAAAAATAAGCTTTTTCACTGTATTTGGAGTATTTTTTGTTTACTTCTGTTTAATGCATTCCATGCGGCAATACTTGCAAGAATCATAAACGTAAAATTATTTCATATCCTTGATTAATTAAGCTTTTGCTTGTCCATTTCTCACAATTGTATTTGACACGTCAACATTTGCAAAAAACATAGACATAAAATTATTTTATATCCTTAAGTAAACTTAAGGACAAAATAAGTAGAAACCAACGTAAATGACATTGTTATTTTCAGCAATATAGTAAAAAGTTTAATATTTTAAATGTCATATATAATGTTTATCATTAAAGTTTAATGAAAATTATCAGTAAATAGTATAAGATATTATTTGATGGGATACTAAATAACTAAAATCAATATTATTCGATCGCTTATTACCTCAATGAAATGAAATAATTGCATCTCAGCAACGTTTATGCGATGTTTCTAGTTAGAAAAAATTCTCAACTATATTACACTGTAATAAACGCGTTTCATAAGTCAGTTTATTTCCAATGTACAAAACGGGAAAATATTTTCGTAGATTCGTATTGCGAATGCGTAAACACCTTTCACAATTTTCTTATTTATCGTCGATGAAGACAATAGCCCTTGAAACATTTTAGTTGTTACGTCACTCGTATGGTAGTTTTCTAATGGTAGTAGTATTCTAATTTGTCCAGTCTATCGTGATAAACTCCGCTGACACGCGATACACTGTTTGACACAAGCACAACAGAACCGTTTCAATCGTTCTGTCAGTTCGATTCGAGAATATAAAGAAAACTGATATGCACAATTAACAAATCAATGAAACAATAAAGTGCATGTATAAAACGGCGCATGGGAACGTCTTTTATGAATACATTAAATGAATATATTAAAGTAACCAGACTCAAGCAATTTCACGGATAATATACCGCCTAGTTCACAATTTCACTTTAATTTTAACTCTGTAATTTATAAATAGATACAGCTAAAGTAACTATCATCCGCAGAATCTAATAACAAGAATTAACGATGAGAGCGTGACGAATATAGCATATGGTTATCTTTTTATAAACGTACTTTCTTCCATTGCGGTAAAAGTATTGTACTTTTTCTTTTTATCTTACTCCACAATAAAAATAATAATTGCTTTTAATTTTAGGAAATTACTATTGCAATAACTTTTGTTCCTAATATAAGTTCATAGTAACATAAAAATTAAAGATTTGTAGATCCTATTATTCACATAATAGGATCTATATAGGATCATTATAATACTGTTCAAAGTTATTAAGCTTGTTATATAGAAAGCTATAATAATATTACAAAAATACAAAAGAAAGTAAAAATTTAGTAATTAAAAATAAGCAAATTCAATAAATCCATCGAGAATAAGGTGGTCGTTAAAAAAGTTGTACAAGCCAAAGTTGTACGATTTAGGTCATTGTAGCCCCGAAAAACGATAAAAGGGTTAAACATCTCTGAGCCATGCTTAATTGATTATGGCATTGCAGAACAAACCTTCCGCGTGAAATAATGCAGATACCCGATTTTCCAATGAAGTATCAGGAAGGTTCGTCGTTCGTTCATCATTCTGTGATTCGAGAGTACCTGGGCGATTATGCGAAACACTTTAATCTGCATCCTTACATAAAGGTATAAGTCGATTTCGTCTCACCTTTCCCTCTTAAGTTTTCCGAACTCGGAGTATGACTATAAAATAACAGTCGACTCTTTCAGTTGAATACCCTTGTGAAACACGTGAAGCCAGGAACCCAGCGAAACGGGCAAACGATATGGATGATCACTTACAAGGATTTGCTGACGAATGTGGAGACCACGAAAACATTTGATGCCGTGGTCGTGTGCAATGGTCATTACACAGTGGGTTACATCCCGCGTATCCCAGGCATCGAAACGTTTCCCGGAGGGCAAATACACAGCCACCAGTATAGATTACCGGAACTATACGCCAGGAAAACTGTTTGCATCCTCGGCGCGTCTTGGTCTGGCATCGACATTGCCATGGAAGTCTCACAATACGCGGAAAAGGTATCAAAGCAGCCTTCGTTATTCTGAACTATTATATTTTTCATTAGTGTTACGCTACATAAACTCTCCGACAATAATAAAGGAACAATCGAATTAGACGAAAACAATGCCTTTTATTGTTTGTGCCGGAAATGAGTGAAACAAAATTCAAGAGATGGATTCTTTTTAATCTATTTTTAACCGAATCATTTAATGTTGAAGTCTTTTTTGTTTCTCAAACTTTTTTTCGTTGATCTATTATATATTTTTCGCCTTCCTATTTCCCATTAGTGTTTCGGTTCATAAACTAGCCGATAGTAATAAAGAAACAATGGAATTTCTTTTATTCTTTGCGTCGGAAATGAGATAAAGAGAATTATAGGAAAGTATTCTTTTCGAACTATTTTTAACCAAATCATTTAATGTTTCCTATTATTTGTTTCTGAAACTTGTTTTTGTCAATGTATAATATTATACATGTTTCATCTTCGTATCTATTAACGTTCATCTCTGTTTTTTTAACCACGCTAATTATTTATGATTATAATATGTAACATGTGTAATATATTATACTAAATGATCTTCTCGAATGGAAATATTTAAGTCTCGCTACTATTTATGGCTGTGCAAAAATCTTTTCAGGTGCTCAGGACATTTATTGATAGAACACATGTTTTCTTACAAAACGTTTTTTACGAAATTTGAAATTCGTAATTTTTCTTTTACATGATGTTCTCCATATCCACGTGTTACTATTATATCTACACATATCTATACATGTTCTTTGCTGCGCAATACAGACTCTATGACCTCTGTACTATGTACCTCTTGTGATCTTGAACGAAGATATGAATGAAACGTATAAAACGAGGTCTTAATTGTCAACACTGATACACAAAACTGTATAAACGTTGTTTTTGAATTTATCTTTGAAGACAATTATTTGAAGGGCAGGAACAAGTCTGAAAAAATGTCTTTTTTACAAATACATTCATTAGCGATATCCCATACATTCATTAGAGATATCTGAATTTTTATTTTCAGATTTCTATTCAGATTTCTATTCGAATACACAGATAAGTACAGTAAATTCTCTCTAATTTTCCTTCAGCTTGTAAACAAAAATGTACAATTTGGGAAGAGAAGATATGATTATTCGAGCCTTGCACCTCGTTTTTATAATCGTTGACAATCGGCAATTATAAAAATGAGCCGCGAAGCTAATCGTACCTCTTCTTCTCACATTGTCCATTTTTGTTTACTAGCTAAAGAAAAATTGGAGAGAATTTACTGTATAGGTACATCGAATATAAGATCATCAGTTACGTAACTTCTTTAACATGGTCGTCTATGCATTCGGTTGTAGGTGTACTTAAGTCACAATTTACCGGAGCCGGTGGATTCGAACGTATTGAAAAACGTGGAAGAAAAACCTGGGGTTCAATCTATTCAAGGAAAGAAATTCACTTTCAGCGACGGCTCCACGGCTGAAGTAGACAACTTCATATATTGCACCGGTAAAACAACTTAATCTTTGTACACACGTATAAACAACCGAGGTATCGTAAATCAATAATACATACGTAAACAAATGTTGTCAGGAAGCTGTTGAGTTATCTTCAGACCTAGACCACCTTTTTGAAGTACAGCTCAGTCATTTAGGAGTCTGTGAATAGATTTCCGGAAAATAAAGTATAAGAATTCCGGAAATAAGTAGTAGAACATGAACACAAGAAATCAAAATCAACTGTTACTAAAAAATTTTTAATTTTTAATTTTTGATAATTTTGTATTTTCTTTTGTTTCTTTTTTTATATCTTTTTTAATCTAATTCTTAGGAAGCACCCGTATAACAAATAAAAGACTGTGTCTTCGTACCGAAAAAACTTGCTCGCGGTTAGAGGGTTACTTAAATTACTTTGATTTTGCAACAATTTTAGAGGTTGATTTTCGTCATTCTACGTGTTAAACAAATGTAATCTTATCATTGTTATAAAATAATATACATTAGTCGTGTTTAGAGCTCGACAGTTTACTGTTAAGTTTTCCAGCGATTTAACTTCATATGTTCAGTCAATTTTTGATTGTCAATATTAGAGCGCCGGTTAATTACAAATTGTTTAAATTTACGGTAGGAGCGTGGTCCTTATCATTAACTGTTTCAATAATATTTTCGATCACATGGTTCCCTTGCAGGGTATAAGTTCACGTATCCCTTTATGTCAGCTAAAGTTGAGATGCGTACAGATGATAATCACGTTGAGCCGATATATAAACATTTAGTCCACATGGATTACCAAAATTTATTCGTGATGGGACTACCAGGTATTGTGATACCATTCCCGATGTTCCATCTGCAGGCTCAGTACATCCTTGCTATTCTAGAAGGCCACGTTCGTTTACCTTCTCCAGAACAAATGCACGTGGAATACGATACTGAGAAAACAGCCTTGCTTAATCAAGGAATACCTGTACGTACACAAATTTTTGAAGATTTTTAGAATTATTTATAATTTTATTTATCAATTTTTTCAATATATTTTGTAAAGTATTTCTTCTAGTCACGTTCATCTTTCTATGGATCTTAATAAAACATGTGATAGAGGTGTGAGAGAACCCGAAAATATCGGGTCGGGTCGGAATGGGAATTTTTCTTCGGTTTCCGAAGCTTTCGGGATTTGCAGAAGAATCGGGATTCTCGAAAAAGTTGGGATTCGTTTTAGATTTAGTTTTATATTCACAAACTAAAATCTTGAACATTATTAAGAATCCTGATTTTTTGGGGCATGCCCGACTCGACCCGATCCGACCTCTTTCCAACCAGTCCTGACCATCGGGTTCCCAAAATTTTCTGGTTCTCGCACACCCCTCCAGTGATAATTCAAATTCATTGCCAGGCACTAGATAGTCAAACAACAAAATTTATAATCGGGGTCCAATGAACCCTACTCCACTGTCTATTTTTCATTTATGATAAAAATAAGTAACAGAGACATAGAACAGTAGAAAGACTAAAGGAATGTGAAAATTAAGTTGATAATAAAAACACATACGATCAGTCAGTTGCAAATTTAAAAAAAGCATCAAAATAAACCATAATAATTTATTTATTTATGTATATTCTTCTTTTTTGTGTTTTCTATTCTCTTTTTATGTATTCATTTATCTACTATCTTTGTTCAACTTAACTTGTATCACTTTTAAGATCAATAGATTTACTACCCATATACGATAAATAATTATAATAATAATATTAAAGCGATGGTTTTTTTACTTGTTCAGTTACGACATATCACCAAGCTGAAGGAAAGGCAATGGGCATATTACGATGAAATTGCTGCCAGTGTGAACGTCCCAAGTATGCCGCCAGTAATTAGGAAAATCTACGATCATTGCAATCTGATGCGCGAAAAAGACTTTACCACTTACAAAAAGCTACAATATCGTATCATTGACGATGAGAATTTTGTAGTGTGTTGTTGTAAACCTTGTTAGGGCTTAAAGGCGAATATTCAAAGAAAATTGATTTGAAAAGCGACAATCGGAGTCGAAGTTACCAGAACTCCGTCAATGTTACGCATTCCATTACATATGTATAATGATTACTTTCAGTGTCTGCGTGCATAGCTATTGACGTTAGCACTGACACATTTTGAAGATTGTATCTATGCCAGCGTTCTTGTTCTCTACTTGTATGAAACGTACATGTTCAGATGAAAAATTGCGTTAACTGGTTTCAGCTGCGGAACGTGCCACAGCAATCAACGATTATGAATAAATATTTATTCTATGCGTTTCCAACATCATCTGGAATGATTTTAAAGGAAATGATGTTGGAAGAATTATGAGAAAGAATATAATATACCCACTTGCAGCTTTTCAGAACGTACGCTATATTTTAAATGTTACTTCAAATGCAAACTTCTATGTAGAAGTATTTTTATAAAATATGCAACTAACATTTGGAATTAAAGTAGTGCGTCCATCTGCGAGACAAGTGGCACTGCATAAGAATTATTTAAACTTCTATGCAATTGAAATTGTTATCAATTATAATGCAAATTGTAATGCTTAAAAAGTAAAATAAAGTTATAAATAATTACGTCAATTTTCCTTTCTCAGGGACCTAAACATTATGCTTTTTAATCGTTTAAGTGTTGACTGTAACGAGAAAGTATAGTTGAAAGAATTTTTACTTTTTATATTAGTTTTATTACATTCAGATTATATTATTTACATTTAAACACAAATATTTAAGAAAATATAGATTACATGGAACATTTAAATTATATATTTTTTAAACTAATTCAGATATTAAAAATTTGGTTGTATAGATAGATTCCTTATTAATGAACACAAAACTCGGTCACTGAAAGTATTCCTTTAGCTCTAATAGTTACCGAGATATTCTACTAAATATGATTCATAACCCAAAATTCGTGGCTGTTCCATTCCTTCGATACAAATAATTTAAGATTTAATCTAAAAATAATTTAAATAAAATAAAATAATTTAATTTAAAGATTTATCAAAATCCGTGCGTATCACTTCAGTAAGTACCTTTGAGTAGAAGTGAATTTAAATTTTGCCGCGTTCCATTAGGAGTCCGCGCATTAAGTTTCTGCAAGCTCTCTGGTCGCAGTGCCCTCCGTGAGCGAAATTAGTAGTAAAAATTGTTTTGCCCTGATTGGCTGACGAATGTATTATTCATTTTGAAGTCACCGCATCATTGTTTATGTATGGATGCAATTTGACAGATGGTATAACCTAAGCTAATTGAAAAGACCGGGTAATCGTCTGTAAATTATAGTAAATGGAGGATGAAAGAGATGAAGATCTTGAATCAGTTGCACCAGAAAGGATCAAAACTGACACCGAAGAGAAGGATGAATCTAAATCACAGATAGTAAAAATAGAAGAAACACAGGAAAGTCAAGTTAACTTGGAAATTCTTGAAGCTGCAGAATCAGAAGAACCTGCTGAACAACCGGTTTATCAAATACGTCCTCAACTGCACGAGAAGTACTTTTATTTATTCGAATAATCCAAAACATATTTTTGTTTTTGCCATCGAATTTTTTGCTCCATTTCTTTTCTAAACAAATAATATTATATTATATTTACATATTTACAAAAGGGTTATATAAATACAATATTAAATGTTTAAGAAACACTATAATAACAAGCTTGAGCACTCATATAAACATTATTATAGTATAAAAAATTATTTCTATGTTTAACTCTTTGACCGCAGCATGTTATAATTTGAAATATAGCAAGTATTGCTATTCACTGTCAAGTTATGGCTGCTACAAAAATTTGACTTGTTAAGAGCAGAAAAGTATCGAAACATTTTTGAATATTAAAAAACCTTAGATTCGATATATCGATTGAAATTGATTTAAGACTTGTGTAGTTAAAGAGTTAATAATCACGATACAACTATGTAGAACAAAAATGTTTTACGCAGGTTTAAACCACTGAGAGCTAAAGAAGTTATACATAATATATTGTTCGATCAGCTTTCCACAAAAGTATATGATGCTCAAGAAGCTATTCAATGGACTAAAGACATAGCTGATATAATCAGAGAAAAAGTAAAAGGTGAAATTCTCTTTTTGAAGCAAATGCACTAGGTTAATAATCCATTACACAAATGATCTTTTGTGTACTTTTAGAATTGAACTTCAAACGTTACAAATATCTTGTAAATGTGGTTTTGGGTGAGCAGCATGGTGCTGGGGTAAAAATGGGTACAAGGTGTATCTGGGATGCAGAGGCTGATGCATATGCTTATGATAGTTTTGTAAATGTAAGGAACATTACAATATTTAATCCTTTAATTTATTGCACAGATTAATATAAATCTCAAAGAGCATAGCATATTGCACTTCTTAGATTTAATTTTATTATATTATTTAAAAGTTCTGAACATGATAGTAATCAGGCTATGGTTCTATCACAATAAATATATAAAACCAAATAAATATAAAATATAAAACCAAATAATTTGATAAATCACATAAAATACAATGAAACATTTCATAGCATGTGTAATGTATTTGTTAGGATTTGATACAAAGCAATCAATTTTTTTCAGGATACAATATTCTGTGTTGCCACTGTGTACGCTGTATATTTTTATTAAAAAGATGATATATTTTTCCCAAGTCAATGCGATAACTTATTATTAAGAACAGTATTACAGATGACAGAGAACAAAGGGAAAATAAATATGCAATCACGCTTCTAAGAAGAGGAAATTGCTTTATTAAAGTAGAAGCTATTCTTATTACTTGATAATACGTGTTTCGACATGGCACAATTTTTGACACATATTTAAAGATACTGTTTGTATATACATATACTTATGCTCACAACAAAAGTACATTGATTTCGTGTGTCTTTCGTTCACTACAATTATTATAGCACCATAATTCACAGTATTATTATATGGCATATTTTTAAGCCACAAGGGAAACTTAATGCTACTACTATATCATGTTTCTAAATTCATTTATGTTAATATTATTTTAAACTACAATGTGTTGTGCTAAAGTTACTGTATTATGATTTATTTACTTTATATGTGGTATGTAGTATGTTGATATAGTATAAAAACTCAAAATTAAAAATGATGCAATAATTTCGTTCGAGTAGTAAAGAAATTCAACGTAGAATATTTTTAACATTATTATGATACAAAATTATATAAATAATAAATTATTTGTTAAACGATAGCCCTATCGTGTGGCCACATATATTTTTTGAAATATGTGAAAAAAGTGGTAAGTTTCCGCAAATTTCGTAACATATAACT